ATATATATTTACACAGAGTGCATACCCACATTTCAGAATTGAATATCAATTATATCAATCAGTATCTGGAGAACTCCTGGGGTAATCTCTTTTAAACTGCACCATAGTTCAGGATTACCATTTTTATATTTGATTTTACGGTTTGCACTGAATCGCTTTAACTTTCACCTGAAAACCTGTGCAGTATGGTAAATGGACTGTACTTATATAGTGCCTTTCTATCCAACCAGGAAAGCCAAACTGCTTCACAAAATCTGTGTCCTCATTTACCCATCCACACTGCACTTAACTAAATCTCTCTACAAAGCTAATCTGTATAAATTAATCTATAGACAGTGCTATCATACACACTGATGGGACACATCAGAGGCTGTGGGGGTTCAGTGTCCTGTCCAGAGACACTTGGACATGTGACTGAATAGTGGTAGAATCAAATCACCAACTCTCTCATAGGAGGACGACTCCTTTACCCACTCAGCCACAGCTGCCCTCACTTCTCCACAGCTCTGCTTTTGTGTGCTTCATTTGTGAATCTACAGTTTTACACGTCTGGCCGAGTTTAAAGTAAGAAAAAAGTTTTTTTTTTTTAATTTCTGATCACATGAAAGCAGGGGCTACTTAGAGATGTTGCCTCACAGCAAGAGATTTGCAGGTTCATCAGGTTTTTCTGTGTGAAGTTTCCCTGGTCTCCCACTGCATGTGTGGATTTGGTGCACATGTATTCTGACTTCCTCCCCACAGAGGAACATGCACGCTGGGTTAATGTGTAACTGTTAATTGTGGATGATAGTGTGAGTGTTTGTCTTGTTGGTCTCTGTGTCCCTGTGATGGACTTGTGATGTGTTCAGGGGGTCCTCGCCTTTAGAACAGTGTCTGCTGGAGACAGACCCCAGCTTCCTGCAACCAAGTTTGAAGCAGGTCAAGAAAATAAACGGATGAATGGATGTTGTAACTGTGACTTTTTGTGCAAACAATACCAGCTTGAAGATTTGTAAAACGAAACAATGAAAGCTCAGAAAATGTCCTCTTCTAATACTGATGGGAATGATGTGAACAAATAACCGTTTCCTGTTTTGCTGGATTTTTTTTCCTCACAAGCCTAAAGCTGTTACTCCCGCACAATCTGGATCAAAGTACACAAAACACATGAAGCTGCATGGAGCTGTGTGTGTTTTTGTTTTGTTTTCCTGACCTTGGCCCGCTCCTCATTCCCTTTTGCGTCAGCCGTGTTTGCTTCACTGCTTTCATTTTGCTCTGCGATTGTGCTCTTTGCCAGCGTCTGGTCAGCTCTGAAAGCAGCGAGGCTGCTCTCAGGAGAGCGCGGCAGCGGCTCAAAGGTGCTCTGGTTCGGGATGAGGAGGGAATTGCTGGTGTGACTCCCCGCGAGCCCCTGGGTCAGCTGAGTTAGCTGAAGGCCCACCTCCAGTGGGCCGGCTGGATAATCTCTGAGAACAGGCAGCGTCTGGAAGCCGTAACAGAGGCGTCCGTAAAGCGGCGCCGAGCCCGGCCGCTGCTGAGGGCCCAGCCTGGGGCACGGGTGACGGTTCCAGCTGTACGTCCTGGCTCGAGGCTGATTCTGTTGGGTGTACCATCTGTGCCAAGAGATAATTGTTGTAAAAAAAACACAGTTACACACACGCGAGACACAGTGACCAGGGTGAAGTTTCTGTACTTTAGTGAATGGCTCACATGTTTCCATTGTTGTGGAGGTGCTGTATTCTGTGCATGCTCTGCAAAGCTGTAATGTCAAATGCTGCCGTGTCTGCTTCCCCTCCCCCCTCATCATCGTAGGATATGATGTTTTCCCTGACATCATCCTCCTCAAAGGGTGAGTGGGAGTCTCGTTTCTGATGGCGCAGCGACAGCGACAGCGCACACACCACTAAAGGGCAAAGAACAGACACATGACCGCACACTCGCCCCATTCTACAGAAGCAGCCCCAAACAACTGCTGCGTGTCTCTCAGGGAGTCACATAAAATATCTTTAGAGTTGATTTTCTGATACGTCAGAGCAAACGGCCGAACCTTACCCAGCATAGTGGAGACACAGGCCAGCATGGCCAGCAACGTGACCAAGCTGAAGATGAGAGACGGGGAGGCGGACGGCGCCGGCAGACACACCACGTGTCTCTCCCACCTCGGGTCTCTCTGCCGGCCCCTGTCCTCCGTCTGCATGCCTCCCTGCAGACACGGACAAATGGTCACGGTGACCGTGCCAGTGTTGGTCAGACCCGAGGCTCCGTCACGCAACACCACGGGCACATAGATGGTGAGCAGAGACGAGGAGAAGCCAGGGAGGGGCTCCAAGGCGGACTGGAGCACCAGGCTGGCTGTCACACCTGATAAATGTGACAAAAAAACAAAAACGCATACATCATATTTGTCACTACAGAGCAAGTGTCTGTTTGTTTCTTTTTTGTGCATCTTTTGATTAACAATAAGCAATAACCTCCAGTTTCCCTGATGGTGAGGTTCAGGTTGGAGCTGGACTCAGGGGCGATGCTGAAGTGGACCGTGGCATCCTGTCCTCCTTCATCCCTGTCGATGGCGCGTAGAACCTGAACCACCTGTGGAGTACAGTTCCACATGTTCCACAATCTGTTAGAAAAGTAGAACTACATGCTTTTACTCTTGGTATTTTGTTGACTTATAAACTAAATTTAAAAAATAATCAATATGATAATAATAATAATAATAATAATAATAATACTAATATCCTCTCCTTGGGCTGCTACCTTATCGTGGTGGAGGGGTTTGAGTGTCCCAATGATCCTAGGAGCTATGCTGTCTGGGGCTTTATGCCCCTGG